ACACGATTCTCAGAGGCTCTGATACTTGACCCTGTGACTCATGGCTTCAGGTCAGTCAAGTCCTATCTGCTCTTTCGGCCAAAGTTTCCCCATCCTCGCAAATGGGAATCTTGATTGCCTTACCTCCATTTAAGAGGGAAGAGAAAGAAAGAAACATTTTCTAGTCACTTACCCTGAGTCTCCAAGAGCCTGTCCTGTTGGCCAAGATCAAGCAGCCAGAAACGGTGAGGCTGGACTCCAATTCACCTGGGTCTGGTTCCAAATCAACTCACCAAGCTCCCCTTTGTCAAGAATTCTGAGGCAACGCTCTTGGAGAGCTTTTGAAGGCCATGCTCTTTGAAACTCAAGTATGGAGAAAGAAGGCATCCCCCATCGGTGGTCCCACGTGCAACTGAAGCCCCAGCAAGACACTTCCAAACCTGCAGCACCAGCCTCGATGCCTATTCCACGTTGCTGGTGGAAAAGTAACCCCCAGCTTTTCCTGCTAACCCGACCCCCAGTTGCAGGTTCAAGGAGCCTCCCCACCTGTCCTCCGGCCCGGCCCCCAGCCCGCCCGAGAGTGGGGACGTCCCTCGTGGAGAACCAACGTACCCCAAAGCTTGGCGTCTCTGCCCGACCTGGCCCAACAGGGAGGGAGACGCTTCTCCCCGGGGACTCAGCAAGGCTCCCAGACGTCGTCTCTTCCACGTTCCGCCGCACAGCCTGCTTTATCTCTTCACTGGGAGCGTCCACGAGGGCTGGTTTCCTCCGAGGGTCCCAAGACTATTAAAGCACGCCCGGTGTCATCAGGGAGGAGGCTCTGAGAGGCATGGCCGGGAGTCGGGGGTTACCCAGCTACTGGAGGCACCTGGAGACTCCGCGAAGGGAATCTGGGAACAGGCAGGAGTCGCAGAATGGGATGCCGGGCTTGGGGGTGTCCTGGAGCTACGACAGGGAAGCCCCTCCGGGGCCCGGCACTGCGCCCCGCGCTCTACGGGACCTGTGCGGCCGCGCGCAGCCCACCGCGCTGCTCGGCGCTGCCGGTCCGGAGCGCACACAATGAGGCGCTTTCAGACGTGGCTGCGGTCCCGGCCGGCGGGAGGGAGCACGGGCGGGCGGGGGGAGGAAGGAAGGAGCCGGTTG